CAGTGGAGGTTAGAGGCATCCATCGCTGGCACAAGCATGAGATACAGGCATACAGAAGCCAAGGAGAGAGTCCGAAGAGAGATGCCATCAGGACACGTGCCCCGACCTCTGGAGGAACAACAGCACTGTCTCCCACTGGTTGTTCCCTGCAGCGACATTCACGGCCGTTTGAAATCAGGACTGCCCGCGCGGGATCAGTTAAGGGATCATTAAGGCCCTCTGTGAGGCTGCTGTGGCTGCTTTCCAGCCTGATCTTTCACTAATCTAACAGAGGGGCGAGCGAGAGAAACCACTGGACACCTCGCGCAAGAGGCTAATAGCGTTCCCCCCTGCCGCTCGCCTAACGTAAAGGGGCCATTTGGAACTAAACGTTGCTTGCTTTCGCCTCTTCCACTGCAGTGCGAAGCCGCCCGAGACGAGCACCGGTCACCGCGACGGCCCCCACCCCAGGGACGGGATGTCACGCTCGCGACACCCCTCCTCTTCAGGGCGCTCCGGCTCTTTCTTATTTTGCTGATTACGTGCGCCTGCCCCCAGTCCTGCCCCTCCTTATTTAAGCCAGGCGCTCTCGCTACCCCTGGCTAAAGAAGATGGACGCCCGGATGCCCACCTACCAGCGGGTCCAGGACAGACCCCATGGCACAGGCTGCATCGCGGCCTCGTCAGCCTGGTTTTATTCCCCGTCCCTGTACCGGATCCTGCTCCGGTTTTTAACTTTGTCTTGTTATCGTCTCGGAGGGATCACCCGGTTTTGAACCTTGGACTTCGCCCCAGATTTCCCCCCTGGACTTCTTGGACTTGTCAGCCTTGGCCACGCCCCCCCCCCGAGCACCAGTGCACAGTGGCCACGCCCCCCTGTTTGTCAACCTGCCCTGATCCTCGTCATCTCCTCCCCGTTTTCCTACTCCACTTACTTCCGGATTCTACCGTCTGCATGGGGTCCTGAACTCCGCTTCATGGGAGCCCGGACCGGCTCCCGTTACACAGGAGCACCGGTGTGAGGCTAGCAGGGACCGGAAATGAAACAGAGATACGTGACGGGTATAGGCAGCAAGAAAAATGACGGCCTTGCGTGGGACAGCCCCTCCGGGACTGACGGTGAAAATTCCCCCCCTTCCGGGGTTAGCCCTGCTTGTCCCTTCCGGGGCTGTCCAGTGTGTCCTGTGTGCTTCTATAGAGTGGCTGTGGCTCATCTTCAAGCAGCTGGAACAGCTGTGGCTAATAAGCCTAGGCTCCGCCTCCACACTGGCCACGCCCCCGCGTAATGCCGCAAAAGGCTTTCTAATCAAACCCCGAGTGCAACGATCCATGACAGCCATCCACACAAGAGGACATTGCGACGGAGGTTCGATCCAGGCTCTGAGCCCGCACAGAACCACCACCTAGACAGCAGATAACTCCGGCACCCTACAGGATCCGGTCCTCATCGCACAATAATGCTATAAACCCCCAGATCCAGCTTTATCTCCGAAGTGTGGCATAGTCTCTCCTACAGGCTGAAGCAAACTTCCCCGCAGCAGACGCACAAACTTCACACAGCGCTTTGACAAGACAACAGCAGGCCCAGTGATGCTGAAATGAATCGGAAACTTCACTGAAGTTCAAGGGCATCGATACTGCATGTACTCCATGCTGGGACAGGGACTCAAAGGGCAGGTTACGGATCGTACCTTCGGAATTGACAAAGTAGGTTGGTTTCTGTTTTTTTTGTTTCTTTGGTT